TCTTCTTAAATTTTTGTGGTGGTTAGAGTCTTATTTAATGTTGTTATTTTCCTCGTAGTGGCGCTATCTCCTGCTATTATGAGTACTATTTTGTATTATCCTTATGAACCGATGTTGATGCCGCGTGGATGGTTAATAAAATGCCAGGAGGTTTAAGATCACTTCCTTTGAATGAGGAGATGTAAGCCTTATTTTTGCCTTCTTAGAAAATAATTTTTCTCACGTTACTCCTCTTGTTATTACTCGATTGGTCCTGGTATTAATTTCGTTAATTATTTTTTATTATCTAAGTAGATGATTTGATTTGCTGTAGTCTGTCCTAAATTATCTTGAATTATATGACGTGGTTTAGGTCCTTGTTTATTTAGTGTTTAACATTATACTCTAGGTGGCGCTATCCCCTGCAAATTCTATTTTGTATTATCCTCATGTGATGCCATCTATCGTTTCCTAGAAATAACTTCTTCATGTAGAGTTGGGGACATTAATTAGTTAGTGTTTGCAAATTTCCTCTCGGCGGCGCTATCCTTTTTTGAGTGTTTCCGAATATGTTGATGTCACACATTTAATTTTTAGAATTTCAGCTGCGTATGATCGACCTAAGGTTTCATTTTTAAAGACATTTTCATTTTGAAAATCATTATTGAATATTATTAAGTATTATGAGGCATCTTTATGATATGCATTTATATCGTTCCCATATCTTATCTAAACACATGCCTTTTTAAATTTAAGTACATCCCATCAAATCTGATCGATCGATCTCAACTTGATTAGCTACAAAGCTACAGTATTATTTTTACGCTTGAATTATTGTTATTATCATTTTTTTGCTTTTCAATTTTCATTTTACATTTCACAAACAAAACAATTTTCTACACACACTCACCTCACCTTAAACAAAATATATTTTATTCAGCAAAAGGGGTATTAGAGGTGTTGGACGGAGGTTGTGGGCTTATTATCTAAGTCGGTATTGTGTATGAAACAAGCAAAAACTCATGAGATTGTGCGATTTTTCTCAACAAAACATTAACAAAAATTTATTTCCAAATTGAAAAAACATTTGTGTTAATCAGGGATCTCTCATCGAAGTTAACAAATGTTTAAAGAAAATGTGGTAAATATCGTAACCCTCAATACTTCGTGGAATTTGTTGTTGATAAATGTAGAAGTTATTTATTTATTTTTATTGTATTTTTACAGTATTTTTTGACAGTATTTTTTGACAGTATTTTTTAATAATGTTTTTTGGTAGAATTAATAAACCTTGATGAATCCTGTTTCGTTTCTGGGTTAAGTTCACCTGTCGTATAAAACTAAAAAAATATGCATGTTTTTTAATGTCTAAAGCCTCACCCATTTAATCGGAAGCAATATAACGGCAGTAGTTGAGTGATGCCCTAAGTGCTGCGGATGTTTTTTTGTGTACGTGTTATCTTTAGGAGAATATAATTTTTTTTATTCATACAATAAGATGGGTCACACATTATGACTTAAAAAATTGTATAAACTGTAAATTATAAAAATTATAAATTAAATAAAAAATCTTAAATCATAAGAAATTTAAGTTATAAAAATAACAAATTAGCTTACTCGACTAGTAAGCTAATTTGCTGTGGTTTGTCCTAGATAATGAGGGCTGTCGCAATGTATAGTTGCTAAGAAACAACGCCTATATGAATTTTGTGCGGTGGTTGAGGCCCTTAATTATTTAGTGTTGCCATATTCCTTAGGGTGGTGTTATCTCCTATCGTTTCTATTTTGTGTTATCCCCACATGGCGATGCCACGAGTTTGGTTTCTAGAACATCAGAATGCATTTCATCTGAAAGAGGGAATATAAAACTTTTGTATGCCATCTTAGAAAATAATTTATTTTTCCTGTTACTCCTCTGGGGAACATAGGACTTTTATAAAAAACATCCCCATATCCCCGTTAATTATTATTTTCTTATCACAACTAAGTAGATGATTGGCCTCGTTAGCATGTCTTAGGAGATAGGTCTGCCATCTACCGCTGTCTAGAAACAACGCCTCTTTGAATTTTGTGTATTGGTTGGGGTCCTTGCTAATTTTGTGTTTGTCATATTTCTCGGGGTGACGTTATCTCATGTCATTCCTATTATGTATAATCCTCATGTGTTAATGCCCCAAGGTTAGTTTCTAGGAGATTAGGGTGCTTCATATACATTTCATTATGATGCCTTCTTAGAATTTGTTCTTAACTTATTCCACTGTCCTAAGTGATAGGGCTGTCATCTGCCGTTTCCTAGAAACAACGCCTTCTTTAATTATTAAGTATTGTTTGACATTTTTTTAGTATGACATATCTTTTTTATTCCAGCTAAGTACATGATTGGTCTGTTGTATCCTATCCCATGTAATGTCTGCTGCCACCCTCTATCGTTGCCTAGAAACAACGTCTCTTTGAATTTTGTGCAGTGGTTGGAGTCCTTGCTTATTAGGTGTTGCCATTTTCCTCTGCTGTCAATTCCATTTTGTGTTATCCTCATGTGGGTCGTACTTTTTCTATTCGCCTCCGCCATCAGGTTATTTAGTATTTATTATTCAAGATGGGCTTCAGATTTTGAAAAATCACTGAAGTTTTAAAGTCCTCATTTAGTTAGGAGAATGTGAAAAATTTCAGCTCTAGGAGAAGTACTTTAAATAAGAATCTTTAAAGGCTTTCTATGTGCTGAAGAAGTCTTCCATAGATCGACTAATGCAGAGATCTTCCATATATCTTCGTATAAATTTTACACAGATAGAAGTCCTTTAAAGTGGTCTTATAAAGATAGATGACATTTGAAAAAGCCTTCCATAGGTCGATAAAGAACTATTTGCGAGGTGCTCTAATGTTTCAGTCGTTTGAGGACATTTAAATCAATTTTCTTTGGATAAAAATGCATTTAAGTTGTCTTCAATAAATACAATAATTTTCATAAAAAAATCTTCTACAAAGGGTCCTCTATAGGTATATAACCTATATGAAGAGATATTTAATAGTTGAAAAACACATTTGAGGTGTCTTCTATATGTCGTCTATGGACAAAATATGTTTTTAATAGATCTTCAACAGATATAATTTCTTATAATTTTGAAAATGCCACTTTTGGATTGTCTTCTACATGTCTTCTTTGGGCAGAATATCTGTCAAAAAAACTTGTGCAGAAAAAAGACTTCTTTAAATAGTTCTTCTGTTAACAGAAGACTATAGAAATTGACATTTATAGGTAGAAGGATCTCCTGTAGATAAAAGCCTGGAAAGAGGGTTAATATAGATAGAGACCACCTTTGTAGAAGCCATCTATAAATCGATAAAGGAATTTTGGTGAAGTACTCTATATATCTTAATATAAATGAAACTATAAAAGAAGTCTATAGTGGTAGAAGGCTCCTATGTGATTATTTTGCAGATCCATTCTATAGATCGATAAAGAACTTTTCGTGAAGTACTATACAGTCCTTATACTAAAGGACTTTTAAAGGTAAATTTCATAGGCTTCGAAGTGATTTTCCATTGAATGGTTTTTAAAAACAAAATCTTCTTCAGGAGATATTCCATAGACATAAAATATTTGAAGATGTATTATGTCCCAAAAAATTGTTATGATATATTTTAAATGGACATTCTATGGACAAAAGATTTTTCAAGTAGCCTTCTATAAATAGAAGCACTTTAGTCTTCTACCAGAGGTATTCTATGAAGATACATTTAACAGTTTAAAGGTCATTTGAAAATACCTCTTTTGAGGGTATTCTACATGTTGTCTATGGACACAATATGTTTTTTAATCGGTCTTTTATAAATATAATATCTTTCAATCTTCTGCAAAAATTCATCTATTGACAGAACACATATTAAGTGGTCGACCATAGACAAAAAATGCCTCCTTTAGAATATATTTTATATGTCTTATATGGACAAAATATCGAACATATCTCAACTGTAGAAAAATAAATTGTCTTCTTTTTAAACTTCCCCTCCTAAAAAGACATACAACAATGAAAGTAATACCGAATATCGTATCCGAGGTCGGAACACATTTAATGTTGAGTATCTTTTCTGTCCAGATTTCTACAAATGTTGTGCCCTTGGCTGATAACTCGAGAATATTTTTAATTTATAATTTTAATAGGATAAGGAATAAAGTCGATGTAAACCCAAAGGAGATAGGACCCGAGTAAAAATCTGTTAGAAATCCGAGACCGAATAAGCTAATTAACATTTCAGCAATACCACACATTAAACACAGGAGTGAAGGTTTTGGCAACAGGAATATTTTTTCAACTGCCAAAGAACATCTAAACCAAAACCTCATCCTCTCATTTTTATATATTGTTAATATTCAAAATCTAGATTTTCAATATTTTCCATTAGGCGCCCTTTTATTCGAAAGCCTCTTTTTATTCAACCTTATCTCCGACTCTGTCCCCTCCCTAAGTTGTAAATCTATTCAGACACTTTGAAGAAGAAAAGGTAACTAAATCTTTTATATGGACTATCTAATTGCTACAGCGTAACTAATGTTTCGAGCGACTCATCCCCTTTATTAAGAAGCGGCTTTAATCTCTTCGAAAAAAATAGAAGAGGAGATTTAGTACCTGCTGCATTTCCATTGCATTTAAAAGAACTTGTTGGATGAGGTCGCAATCACAGCAAATTTCAAAACAAGATTTAGGGTTCTATTGTTTTCACTCACGTTAGGGTCAGGTACCTGTTCTGACAACACCAACGCACACAGCTGCAGCTCATCTGGACATTAGAAATTAGAAAAAAATCGAAATGGTTTTTGGAAAATCAATTTAGATTTTAGTTACGAATAGACCTTCGAACGTAAAAGCGGAGAGGACTATTGGATCCTCTTGAAAGAAATTTGGAAAACAAATTTTTGTTTTTAAATAAAAATTGGAAATGATGAATTGTTGTGCCCAGAGTAATGGTATATTAATTTGAAATACTTTTTATGGTCTGTATCAATTTTTATTAAAATTTCTCTCTTATCTTATTTTCCAGTGACGGATGATGGCAAAAAGATCATACCACCCACCAAACCAATGTCATGCGCAAAATCTTGGCTGCAAGAGCAAACGCGAAAAACATTCAAAAAGAAGATTTTACACAAACGAATACCCATCTTAAGGTGGCTGCCCAAATATAATAGCGAGGATGCGGTTGGCGATTTAGTGGCTGGCATAACAGTTGGCTTAACTGTTATACCACAAGCCTTGGCATACTCCGGTATAGCCGGTTTGCCAGCAGCGGTAAGTTGAAGATTACAAATATTGAAAAAAAAAATACAATGGAACATGATTGAAAATAAAAAATCAAATTCCAATGTATTGATTTAAAAATACTTTATAATAATGTTCCCCCCTTTTCTTTCCAGTACGGTCTCTATGGTTCCTTTTTGGGTTGTTTCGTTTACATATTCCTGGGCAGTTGTAAAGATGTTCCCGTTGGCCCCTCAGCCATTGTGGCGTTGTTAACATTTCAAGTCGCCCAAGGCTCATGGCAAAAATCTGTCCTTTTGTGTTTAATGTGTGGCATTGTTGAAATGTTAATGGGCCTTTTTGGTCTTGGATTTCTAATAGATTTTGTCTCCGGGCCTGTATCCTCTGGTTTTACATCGGCTGTATCGTTAATCATTTTAACATCGCAGGTGAAAAATATCCTCGGTATATCAGCCAAAGGTACAACATTTGTAGAAATCTGGACAGAAATAATACATAACATTAAGGATGTTCGGGCTTCGGATACGATATTGGGCATTACCTGTATTGTTGTGCTGCTTATTATGAGGGTAAGTTTGAAGAGCATTTTTTTTCTTCTGTATAAAAGATAAGATATTATGGATGCTAAAAAGGTAGTAGTGTTGGAAAAATATTCCGTTTTATAAAGGAAATTTTTTAAAAGTATTTGTAGGAGAACTCTTGAAAAGTCTTAAAAACCTCCCAAAAGCAAGAATTTTGAAAATTCATTTAGAAGACCACTACAAAGGTTGTTTTGCCAATAGAAGAACGAAAACACTTCTATTTATAGTAGAACTCTTGAATGATCTTGTGCCTATGGACGATACACATTTATTTATTTCCTAAAGGAGGCATTTTTAGAGAAAAAAATTAACAGAAGACCATTTCAAGGGCTTTGTGTTAAAGACCTCCCCTCGAGAATTAAAAGAAATTTCAGATTTTATTTATTTCCCAAAAGAGGCATTTTGAGTGAAAAAATTAACAGAAGACCACTTCCAAGACTAGTGTTAATAGAAGACCTTCCCTCGATAATTAAAAAAAATCAGAATTCATAATTTCTTCTTCAGAAATATACTTTCGGTAGATAAAATGCAGAAAATTTCTCCAGAAGATAAATTCAAAGATAGAAGACCCTTTGTAGACTATTGAAATTATTTCTATTTATAATACAAAAGAAAATTGTTTGCCACTTGACAATATGTGAAAGCGGAATATCCTTTATCGACCTGTGGAAATCTTTTTTTAAATGTCATCCACACTTTTAAAGGTCTTCTTTTCTTCTATATAAAAAGATTTATTCAGAGGTCTGCAGAAGACCCTTTCAAATGCAATATTTTTTTATTTTTAAATGAATGGACCTAGTCAGAGACAATTCGAAAAACAATGTATCATAAGAAGAACTTCTAATAATTTTATTAATGTATGGGATATCTCTTCTTCGACAGATAAAGGACTTTTCAAAGGTCATTTTAAAGGTCCGTTTGTTTCAAAATGTGCCTTATTTACAATTTGCAATGCTTATAGAGTAGGAAACGTATCTTCAAACAAATTCACCATAATTTCATATTTTGAATTTTATTGGTGGAAAATCTTCCTTACTTACTTAGCTGACTTATAACAGAACGGCTGTTCCATAAGCCGAGCTTAAAAACATTTCCAAGCGCCTCTATCTTGAGCGCACCTCATCCAATTCGAAAGACCATTTCCGAGATGTTGTATTCTACTTGAAGGGCTCTGATAGGTCCTTTCCTACTTTAACTGCTGACCTTGTTATCACGCACGCTGGATAGCAATTTATATGCGATGGGTAGGAGATTTATTCCTCTACTGTTGGCACATATCGTCTTGTCTTCTTTTTTGTGCACGGGACACATGATGCTGAGGTTCCAATCATTGGGCATGCATTCCTCTAGCCAAATTGTACAAATGAGCTGATTTATTCCTACTCTGACCTCATCTGGGCTAGGTGAAATATACTCTATACCGTCAACTCTTATTGGTTCTGGGGTATCTTCTGTCACCAGGTTTCCTTCTTCAACTCAACATGAAGATGTTCCTGCACCCAAAACCTCGGTTTGGTGTTTTACTCGTTGGTTCCGGACTTCATTCTGACTCCTGTACATCTCGATTTGCTCACGCTCATGGTTTTCTTGTTCTGTCTTCTTTTTTATGAAAATACGTTTCTCCTCTCTCTTCCTTTCTCCAGATAATATTCTATTGCATTACGTGTTGCCATTGGCTTCTTGAAAATCTTCCTACGAAATCATATTTATATGGGTATAGGTCCACTAATGATTTTATATACATTTTAGAACCAAGTTGTCTGCAATTGGATATTTTGGATTTTCATTGGATTGATAATCTTCCTATCAAAAATAATCGATAGAAGTCCACTATTAGGTATAGCCCCTATATATCTAACGTAACCTGTTCGATTTTCGGTGTATATCCGAATTGAATGTAATTTAATATATAAATTTCGCATTGTATTATAAATCTTCTAAACCTTTAGGTATAGACCTCACTTAGATTTTGTGATTTTATATTTTGGATTCTGATTGGGTAGCAAATCTCCCTGCCAAAAATAATCATATAGGTTCACCCTTAGATCTAGCTCTCGTATAAATATACCTTCTGATTTTCGGATGTTATTTTGGCAATTAGGCTTCCAGTTGTAAATCAATCTTCTCTACGAAAAATCATAAATTTTGGCACAGTTTTAGTTTTAACCCTCTTAACCATAACTACATCCCTAATTAAGAGTATTTTGAGATTTTTTTGATAAAAAAAAAATCCAGCAGCACCCTCTTCATTAAAGGTTAGGGTACACAGAAGATTATATATTCAATTTCAGAAGCGCCATCTATGTACACAGATGAAAAATTTGAACTAACATGCTATTGAATACCCCTAGAAAGTTCTACAAATGCATATAATTTTGATTCTATTAACGCTATCTCATGGTTTTATAATTGACGTGCATATAGGACTAACAAAAAATTATATAAAACTCAATTCTAGCAGCACCGCCATCTATATGTCAGATGGGTGACTTTTTAATTCACCTGTTATTAAAAACATCCTTTGGAAATCTTACCTATATTATTATTTTGACTACTTTACAATATCATTTTAATACTCATAATTTTTCTTTTCATTTTTCCCTTTACAGCTCTTACCATCCTGTAAAATTGGCCCCAAAGAGCCGCACTTACGCACCAAGGCACAAAATGTGATTAACAAAATAATTTGGATTGTTGGTACATCACGCAATGCTATTTTGGTTATCGTATGTTGTATTATGGGTGTCCTACTGCACACGTATAACGAGGGAACACCTTTCAAAGTTATTGGTTATATACCACAAGGTCTGCCTAGTTTCGCGCTGCCACCTACCCACCTCAGTGTCAATGAAACTCTAAGTGGAAAAGAGGAGTCATTTGTTGATATGATGCGCAGCATGGGTTCGGGATTAATTGTGATACCATTGATATCGTTGATGGAAAATATTGCCATTTGCAAGGCTTTTGGTGAGTTTTGGGAAGAAGAATGAGATTTGTTGAAATTTGTACTTATTTGTTTCATTATTGTTTTATAGCTAATGGCA